GAAAATATGTGGTGGAAAATTTTAAAAATTAAAAATCCAAAGAAAGAATAGTACTCAAGCCGCAATAAACCACCGGCTAAAATTTACCATCGGCATTTACCATCTATAAAAAGAACCAAAAATGAAAAGTAAAGATCTTAAACCACAATATTTTAATAATGACGCTCTCAAAAACTAAAAACCTACAGAATGATGAAAAATAGTCAAGAAAAAAATTCAAAAAAATCAGGTTTTATACGAGTGGCACTATGAAGTAAAACACTGCAATTAGTATACTGATCGTCTGTCTAAGCTGGCAGTCAAACCTACAAATACACGTATAGATATATAGATCTAAACGTGTAACCTTTGCCTTCGCTTCCCGGCAGGCAGCAGTGGCTTCAACGAACTTTTGTGGGCGGAGTTGCAGCACATATAACCCCGCAATATTTTGTTGTTTTGCCGTACCGAGCAGCTTCAGGCAGCTTCCTAAATGCTACATTATGAAGCTGAAACTCGCCTATAGAATCCAACAAAAAAAATCCAAAACTCTATAGCAAAAAAACTGTAAGAACTGTGGTAAAGTAAAGTTTAAAGAAATGTACTCTTGACAGTTTGTTTTTTGCCAACTACAATATATTTGCAGGTAATTTTCAAATGGAAAACAGTTACTCTGGTGCCTAGAAAGAAAATGCCAAGATCCAAGATAATCTTACCGCATAGCATATCGAAGACGGCCCTAAGAACTTAAAATAAAACAAAAAAAGATTGTCTAGATGACAAACATCGTACTGTTAACTAGTTTTCAAATTTCCAAGAAGTTAAGTTTCAAAAATAAAAACTTTAGAGCAACCAAAAAAAAAAAGTTATTTTAGTACTAAAAAACTGTACCCGCCTGCTCGAAACTACGCCAATGAACAAAATCCACTGAAAAGACATGCATAAAAAGAGCCCAAGAAAACATTATATAAAACACGTGTTTCAAACGTAAAGGAAAATATGTTCAAATGAAAAAATGAGTGCAAATTTTGAATGTAAAAATAAAAATCGAAAAAAGATACAATGACCTACAAAAGCTATGTGCATTAGACTAATTTATCTTTAGATCCAATCTAATCACCGCCAAACTTTAATAACGAAGCCCATATACTGATGTTAACTACTTTTCCAAAATCTTCTAGATTAGCAAAAAAGTTTTCGCTTCATGAGTGACAACCTACTAATATTAATGTTATTAAACTTAGTCAAATTGCACTTTATTTTATTCGATGAACTTTGTAGAATACAGCTTATATTTGAAGTGTAAATGAAAACTGCCCAAATCAGATTACAAGTCATCAAATATTAATCACTGCTACATGCACTAGTTTAGGTTTCACTTTTATTTTTATATCCTCATAACCTACTGTTTTGGGGCAGAAGACGTTTTTCTAAGGTTCGATATCCGTTAGCCTACAAAATATAGCCAACTAAGTAGTTTAAATTACCAAACTGAAAAATCATCACTAAATCTGAGTGTTTGCTACGATCCACGCATTGAAATACCATCTATCAAAGATTTGTGGTTGAAACTTTTTAGAAAGTTTGATCAAATAAAATTAAGTTTTATTAAGGCTGCAAATAAGCCTAAACGAAAGTCGTCTGAAGACTGCACTAAACAGTTAGCTACACATATACAATATTATTGTTCTAGATTGCACTCAATTTCAAATAAAATAACTGTGAAGGATAACTTGCTAAAACGCTAGAGTTTGTAATAAAAAAAAAAAAAAACTTGTTGGTAAATGAAGAGCACTCGAAAATCTAACAGTTTAAATCCAACAAAGTCTAAAGTTCTGATTTTTTTTTTGAAATAACTGATCAATAAATTTCCGAAAAAATTAGATTAACAAATGAAAATTAACAAATAATAAACGACAAACATACCATAACGTCGAAGATAGATGAATTCTCGAAGAAGCTGTACAGCAGCAGGAACTATGACATTGTTAACACTTATTAAGTTCATGTAATCTTTAGCCAAATCAAGTAGTCTTCTAAAATATCATTCACAAAATAGCAAAGACTGTAGCAGCAAATATCGCAACAACAGGACAATAAACGCGTTTCAGCTGGTTTATGACCCTTTTTTAGTGCCGATCTTTCCCCTCCCGATATACAGATGATCTTTCCGGGCACAAACTACTTCTGATTACCGATATGCCCTTCTACTCAATTTGGCAATCTTCTTTATGCAGTTTCTTAACCACCGTCAATCAAACGATGTTTTTGCCCTTCTTAAGTCTTTATTAATTAAAATATAACAGCAGTATTATTATTATTATTATTATTAAACAGCCAATATGATTCGTTTCAAATGATTGTTTCACAGCAGTGTTTGTTGTGGCCGTTGTTGTTAGCGCAAAGCCAACGAAGAACTGTGTCGTGTTGAAGATAGAGGTCACTGAAAAAGCGATTTATCCTTCCAAAACTATATGCATATATCTATACAGATGGTTTCTTTACGTAGTCGTCTTCAGAAAAGAAGTATTATTTAATCGTAAAAATCAATTACATTTCAGATGATTATATTAACGATATGAATGGTCTTGTGTATTGCATTAAAAACAGTTTGCATATTTATTTCTTAAAAGCAGTTATCAAACATTTTTTTCTTCATTTGCAGTGTTTTAAAGATCATAGATGAAACATACAATAATGGTGTAATCGCCAGCTGTGAAACAACTGAAAGCACTATGATATCAGAATTTGATAACTTTATTGTAAAGTTTTTAAGAATCGATGACAGAAGGAGAAACAAAAAAAATTGTTGATGATATAAGTAACCACCAATTTTTTAATTAACATAAGAAGAATTTTTCCTGCTAAAAAATACTACTTGTCTGTTTTTTTTATAAAAGAATAAAATGAAGAAAGAAAGAAAGATATGAATATAATAGTTGATTAGCCAACTTTTTCTTTAATATTAATATATATTTTGCAAAAAGAAAAAGCATGGAAAAAAAGCAATTAACTTTTTATTAAACTTAATCATCATTGACGTTCATTTTGGCTATTCGTCATCGTATTCATTCTTTTTCTTCTTACTCTTCTTTGATAATACTACTTATACCTTTGTTTTATTCTTCTTTTTCACTTCTGATTTGCACTTTTTTATTGGGCACCTGACAAATGTACACATAAAGATTTGTAGTTTTTTTGTCGAGACTTTTTTTATTAAAAAGCAAAGAAAGACAGGTGGAAAATTCAAAATATTCGTAGTAACGGTTCTGCGCTATTAAACTAATGGCTTTGAAATGAAAGAAGAAAATGCATTAGTTTTTCATAATTTTTTTACCAGATTTTATTAATTCAATATTTGTCAAAAAAAAAATTCAACAAATCATTGCTGACATATGAAATTATGGTTAAAAATAGAAATTTGTTTATACATTTAAGCTCTTAAAATAATTTGCATAATCAACAGTTGTATTGTGCAAAGAAGCAAAATAGCAAGAGGAAAAGAGGAGACAAATAAAGCTAATGAAGAAAGAAATGTCAGAAAAGGAATAATCTGAAGAAAGAAAAGACAGTATAGTATCAACCCTTTATTATGCTTTAACAACAGTACTTAACAGTAAATTACATTCAATGTCAAATAAAAAGTATTTTTTTTTTACAACAATTTTTTTTTTT